GGGGTCCTCCCATTGACACCCTATAAGAACCCTCTACATCCGAAACAAAACTCTATAAGGACCCCTAAGATTGCAGGTTCTTTGACCCTTGCAGACCTTAATTCCTAAACCCGCAAGCCATCAGGGACCTTAACATCCCATAACACGGCATAAGGGCGTAAAAGCTTAGTTCGAGGCCATTTTACCCTATGCCCCTAGCTAAAGTAACGTGCACAGGCCTGTCCTACCGCGACGAAGGGGGTGCTTCCCATGCCGAGCAAAAGGATCCCGCAAATTAGGGTTTGGTTCAGTCGGGGGTTTAGGGTTTCGGGAATAGGGTGGGTTCCTTGTTATTACTCCCCGAAACCCGGTTCAATTTTTCAGGAACACCGGTACGAAAGCCTTTTAGGAGCCATATAAAGTAACTATGGCTCAAATTCAGGAACATCCGTATGAAAGCCTTTTGGAGGTCATAAAGCTCTTACGGCGTTTCGGGACTTACGGTGTTGTTTGGTGTAAGGTCTGGTCCCGAATATGAAATGAGGGGGCCCCTTATCTTCATTTAAGGTTTTGGAAAGCAAAGAAGGTGGAATCCTGTCGATTAGCATTACTTGTCATTCAGGGTTTAGGGCTTAGGGTTTCTTCTTAGGGTTTGTCGACGTCGAGTTTCATGAGGGGCTTGGAGGAAAAAAGGCTTAACATTCAGCTCCCCTATGAAAAGGTAGGAGCCCTAAGCCCTCATACCATGAACTCGGTTAGATGGCATTTGATCTTTGGAGCCGTTTTATGTAGGGGCCTGAATAATTACCTACATTATTTTGGGGGGTTCCTTATTATTAATATAGTATAATATCACCCAAAACCCTATTCTAATTATTNNATTATTGAGGCCCCTACATTAGGGGACATTTGGTCCTTAGCTACGACAACTCTTACGATTTAAGGTGAGCCGTCCTGCACTCCAAACTCCAAGCCAGCTTCGGTCGTCGGCAACAGGGGGATTTGGGGGGTATGGGTGAGTCAAGGTTTAGAGTTCGGTTTTAGGGTGGCGGGTGTATAGAAGATCATATATACTTTGCCCAATCTGCTTCTGTCTAACAGTTTTATCGCTGCGTTTAGGGTTCAGGTTTAGGGTGTAAAGTTTAGTCTAGTGAGACTGGAAACCCACAGCCGCGTTTGAAGCCGACGGGAGAGTATTTGGACACATAACTCGCTTCGGTGACATTCTGTTTCAGGTTTATTCGGGGCTTTGGATGCAACTTCCAAATCCTAACAGGTCCTCACCAGAGAGGTTTGAAGAAGTAGGAATGATACTGTAATGACACTCCCTTGTACTGAGCCCCCATAGACAGCATGCAGCGAACCGTTTCGTCAACAAATCTAGCCGTACTGAGTTAGCTTCAAGTTGGCTACTACCACGACGACGAAAACTACTGCGACGACGACGAGCACTATTGCTACTGCAAATTCGACATCGAAGGAACTGAAGACCTGATAAACTCGGTGTAAAGCAGACGTGATACCAAGAAGGTTTCAGCGCCCCTAAATGCTGAAGCCGAAAACCTTTCAATACGAAAGCCAACAACTGCATGCTTTTCGGCTTTTCGGGAAAGGGTTCACCAAAAGCCCGTTGTTTTCCAAGTAGCGTGCTGTGACAGTGTGGTGTGTTTGTGCCGCAGTGTCGTTATCATTCCTCACGCAGACCCCAAGCACCCTCTAAACCCAAAGCCTGAGGCTATTATAAGCTCTTAAACTCTTAGCCAGCGTTTGCTGTTCGGGGGTCTACGGGCCTGGGAGCTGTGGCGGCGGGGGGGGGGGGGGG